AAAATTAATTAAATGGTCACCCGGTTTTCTCGCGATTCTTGAGCAGGGCGTTTGTGATTTAACAAATAGATTACATTTTGCCGTTGTCTGTTCAGTTATAGATACACAGTATGACGTCATATGTGGTAAGAACAAAAAAGGCGTCTACGCGAGTGGGCACTTTTTGTTCTTACCACATATGACGTCATACTGTGTATCTATAAGTGAACAAACAACGGGAAAATGTAATCTATTTGTTTTATATAATAAAAATTAAAACAATTGGCGAACTAAACAGGTAAATAGTTTATTTTTATTCACCCAAACATCTGGAAGTCGAAATTTTACAAATATCACGCGTACATGATATGATCTATACAAATAACGAAATGCTATTAGCTCGCTTAAGTCACGTGCTGAATTCTTATTGGCTAAGCTTAGAATGCGCTAGACGGTAATACATATGGAAAACATTGAAAAAACAGTGAAAAAACATTGCTTCAAAGGAATAGAAACATGTGATAAAAAGGAAATTATTTTGTTCCTAGCGACTATGGCAATTAAAAAGCACTTAATTAAACATTGCCTATGTCGCACGAAGTGAAGAAACCAGCTGGATCGGAAAATGTGACATCGACAGGGTCAAATGACCGAAATAGTATTTGTTTTCGAAGACCGGATTGGATTTTGAAGTCGCAGCTGAATGACTGAGTTGAGATTTGCCGAGTTTCTATCTTTTGTGAGTGATTTTTGCACATTTATCGAAGGTATTTATTGTTGTTTATAGATTTAATTGCATGAATTCATTCAATTTGTATAAATTCAGTGGAATTTTCAAATATTTTTGACATTTTAAAAACTAATGACGTAATTCCGTGCGTCTGTTCTCTAATAGATCATGGCTCTCGACCAATGAAATCGCATAAATTCTTAAGGTTATTATATAAAACTATTTCGAGCCACCTTAATGGGATTTTCTAGATCTTCATAGACGTGTGATATTTTGCATATGTTGATCCTTGCAGATGGGGTGTCTGTAAAACGCTGAACCCCACCCAGAACCTCACCCGGAACCTCATCTGTAAATCCTGGAACACACATAACCCAGCATAATCAGCATGCCTTTACGAGCAAACGATCAACCGTGTCCGCACTCACCAACATCTCGCAGAACTGGTTTAATGTGACTGACAATACGCATAGCGCCAAAAATGGAGTTCATGCACTATTCATAGATTTCCGCAAAGCGTTTGACCTTGTTGACCACGGAATTCTACTTCGTAAGCTCGCAGAAATGAATGTAACCAAAGCCTTTTGGCTATGGACACGTAGTTTTCTGGAAGATAGAAGACAACAGGTCAAACTAGCAGGAACCCTATCATCGGTCAAACCTTGTCCTGCAGGAGTCCCACAAGGTTCTGTGATGTCCCCCGCTCTTTTTAATATTCACATTAACGATATTGAGAACTCAATCCCAGATGGATTATCCATAAATATATGCAAATACGCGGATGATTGTACACAGGACGAAGTGGTGTCACAAGGTTCATCCAGCCATATGCAGGAGGCCCTTGAAGCAGTACAAGAATGGTCTAATAGGAACAAAATGACGATAAATTCGAAGAAAACAAAAGATATGTGGATATGTTTTAACACAGCAATACCGGCACCAGAACCATTGGTCATTGGAAGCGAGGTAGTGGAAAGAGTAAATTCTCATAAACTGTTGGGTGTCTGGCATCAAAACAATTTGAAATGGAACTGTCATATCAAGAACATTGTAAGGAAAGCAAATAAACGAATGTTTAGTCTGAGAGAATGCCGTGGGGCGAATCTTCCTCCTGAGGTCGGTATTACATGTTATGAATCCAAGATTAGACCTGTTTTAGAATATGCAGCTCCGATATGGGGTGGTTTACCACAATATCTCATTGATGAAATAGAGAGCATTCAAAACAGATGCATCAAAATCCTCGGCACATCTCGGTGCAACTTTGAAACGCTAGAACAAAGAAGGGCACACCTAACTGTTAAGGAATACCAAAGAATTCTAAGTGATCCGACCAACCCATGTAATAAACTTATCCCCCAACCTTTTACCCATGAACACGATCTAAGAACAACAAATAATCTACCATATGTTGTATCGTATACTAAAAGACATCGGCAATCCATTATACCTAGAGCTATATCCCTTTTAAAACAGTCCTAAATTAATTTTATAGAATATATAACTAGTATAAACATTTTTAGCAACATTTATGTAAATAATAGTAAAATTTCTTCTTATCAATTTTAACCTTAGCACTTCTTGTAAATCCATTGTACTTTTCTAACCAAAGATGGATATTAAATGTTATTATATAACCTCCCGTGAACACCCGGACCACGCTGGAATACGAGCTATTAATTTCAGCTATGAAGCACTTATTTCTCTTAAATTCGAGGCAGGTGCGAAACTAGCCCCTTTTAAATCGGGGGGTGTCTGCCAGAATTGCACTGCCAAAACCGATGATGCCGTGCAGCAAGTTTTTATTTCTGGCGGCTATTTTTCCTAAAGATGTTGGCGAGCGGGGGGGGGGGAGAAGGTTTGAAAAATTTTTTTTCGGAGATTTAAAAAGAAAGGGTCGAAAAAATTTTCCGGACATAAACCAGTTAAATTAAGGGTCAAAACAATTTTTCTGTACAAATCCCTGTTAAAACATGAGTGAAACCCTTATTTTTGGACCAATATCTGTAAAATTTAGGTCTAGAAATTCTATTCAATTCCCTTTGAAAGCCCTGTAAGTTACTTAGTAACTCTACATTCTATCATTTAAAATATTTGATTGCCCTGCCAATCCAGATGATTCGCCCTGCCAATTCAGATGATTCGTATTTTGGGGGTGTCACACCCCCATACCCCCCTCAAGTTTCGCCCCTGATTCGGGGTGACGGGACGGTTACCCGGAACACCTGGAACCCCACGTACCTGCGGTATATGATATCAAATATACGAGTTTTGCCTGTTTGTAAGCGTTTGTACAATATTTTTCGTTTACTATCTTACCGCATTATGTACCTGTGACTCTATTCTAAATTTACTAAGTAATAAAAAAAGATAGCAAAGTTAAAACGTTCTTGTTCAAACAATAACGTTTTAACTTTGCTATCATTTTTTATTACTTGAATAATATGTTTGCATATGGTTACTTTAATTTGCAATTGTATGGAACTACGATTTAGGAATTTAGAATGTAGACTTGAATATCAATTTAACTTAATTAAACCGGATATAGTCTGTGAAGCGTACTATTCAATATCTGTTAAACTTGTAAAATAATACAAAAAACATGAAAGTGGTTATGAAATGTAATTTTTGCCTCAATTTTTATTTTTTTATTAATTAAAAGGTACAGTATACTACGCAAATGATAAAAAAATACGTTTACACATTGGCGTAGGGGAAGGAAAAAGTAGGGCGGCGGAAATAAATTTGCCCGACTTTCTCCCATTGTTCCAGACTTGTAATTATATTTTCCGTGCAAACTTTCCAAAATAGTTGTCGACGGTGGGGAGGGGGAGGGGGAGTTTGAAATGTATTATAATTTAAAATAAATTTATATTTATATATTATATTTTCCTCTATTTTTGACAATTAGGCCTATATAGCATATTTCCCCCAAATATTGAGTGGATTTCTCCAATTATTTTTATAATAAGCGAATAACTCGCCCCGTTTGCCTATGAGTTTACAGTTTATTCCGTATCTCATATATAATTATTCTCAGGTTATCGCACATCCGATATTTTGAGATGTTACGCTACTAGCAAGAAAATATGATATCATGCATGGAAACCATTTAATAAAATTCAATGAATCTTGGAACAATGAATAGTTGCAACTATAAGTGAACAATTTGGTTTGCTTAAACGGTACTCATGGTAATACACTCGTCCTTAATCCCTTTTCTTTCATTTAGTATCTGATCATATATATACACAGGTTGTGCCAATGAAATGTGATTAGGTCAGAAGATGTGCTTTTCTTTCTAGCTTTTGCTAATAGAATGTTAACTCGCCTAAATGTGCAAGTGCATGTGATTTGTACGAAAAAAGCGACTCAGAAAATGAGCATCACTCCATCAGAATAAACATTTTGCCATGTATTTTGCTATAAATATAGTAGTTTTAAAATATTATTTTTAGGTTTTCAAGGTATTTAAAAAACAGATAAACACAGCAATCAGATATTTCTATGATTATTTAGACCCTGATTATTTTTAAACAGAATTTTCGCTCTTTCAAAATTCTATAAACACGCTTTTTTTTTAGCTTGCTGTGCTGAGTGGTTAATTATATTGCTACCTAAAATAACTTCGCTCGAGACGTCGAGTTTCTGCTTGTTTATTTCACTCGGTATCGGAATGGAACTCATTACCTATTGAACTGAAACAATCTATCAATCTTAATCTCTTTAAATCCAAACTAAAACAATTTATCTAATTAAGTTGAACAATTTATCTAATTAAGTTGATTTTTGTTTGTTTTTGGGTTGTTTTTTTTTCTAATTATGAAGTATAATTATATATAATCCATTTGTAAATATTTTATAGTTTTTAAATAAGCATAGTATAGTTTACCATGTATAATATAGATATATATTACAGGACCTCCCTGAAAAACACTTCGGTGAGTCGAGCTTCCTGAATAAATATCATTATTATTACTAGAAAATACATGCATGCAGAAACCCTCGCCTTGCTGACAAAACCATTGCATTTTCCGAACATGAAGTATCTAAAGTAGTTGTCATGGTAACACGATAATTTTTTAAGAATATTTTTACAAATGAAAAATCGCCTAAAAATATCACTT